TACTTTCTATGTGTGCTTTTCTTAACATTATTTCTCAAAAACTGAATGTGAAAAATTATTTTTTAAACTTATATTAGATGAAAATAAGAACGAGGAATTTTTTAATGTCTTTTCTGACATTTTTTAAGAGTTATTAATAACAGTTAATCAATTTCATTGCCACTATTAACATACATGATGTTGTACCAGATGTTTTTAATGTTCAATTATGCCCCAATTTCTGTGAAATATGCAATGACTAAGTGACCCAATAGCTTTTAATCTCTGCAATAAAACTTATAAATGCGACAGCCATTTAGATGTGAAATTTTCTTTCTCAAAGCTTCAATACATTCATATTATTGCAATAAACTTCGACAAAATCCTAAATATGGTAAAATTACCATAATAAATTATAATTCAAAATAGGTCGGGTTTTATTTAGCGATAAGTTTCTTTTCACAGTTGCGATATATCTGAATAAAATAAATAAATTTTTATCTTTTCAGGATATAGGAAATGCAATGAAATAAACTAAGGGGAAACATATTTTCATCATAAAATATTCTATCAGACGAAACGTTCCCAGAATATTGGAATTTTTAGGTTGGCTATAAAAGAGACAATAAATAAAATGTCGTTTTGACTGCTAAACGGTCCTCATTATAATACGGTTGGCTGACCCCTAGGTGCTTGCACGGTCAGACTGTCGGACATTTGAGAGAGGGAGACTTTAATCATTATTCACCACTGTAGGATGCGGGACAATGGCCAAGCCGCAGAAAGGATGCTGGCGATTTGAGCTAGGGTTGCTCTATATGACTGATGATTGGCGAGATTAACTTTTCGCCAAGAAGCTCGCAGACCAATCATCACCTACTCAGTTTTTGTATTTGGTGAGTGGGAGAACGGGGCACAATGCTTCTGTGATTATATAATTAAAATTTCACTGCTCAATAAAATTTATTTTATTGCCATATATCGATATTTTTAAGTTGTTTGTATAATTTTTTACTAATTATAATTTGCATAATTTTTTAATAATTATAATTTGTATAATTTTTTAATAATAAATTTAAGTATATAGAACAACCTCAGGCGTAAAGAATTTATATTTTTAAGTACTTCCTAAAAAACATATAAAAGGTATTAAATATAGGAACACTCTCCATATATGTTATTTCTTTTTATTTATTTATTTTATTTTATTTATTTATTTATTTATTTATTTGCAAGGAAAATAATTAGGCCTAAATAGCACATCTTTGTGGCAATCCTCTTATTTTGAGCAAAAGCTAAGCGATAAAAGGATAGGTGGTAAATTTTCAAACTCTTACATAACAAATTCTTTATAAGAATTTCTTACTATTAAATAATTGGTTTCAGAAAGGCATTTTAAGAGAAAAAGTACTATTTTATATATTCTAGCCGATAAGACACCTTGACTAATTTCTTTGTCGAAGACACTGGAGCATGTAAGTCACTTAAATAAGCTGTAAGTTTTTATTATCACTATATGATTGTTTTCCACCTCTTCTCCCCAGCTAAACAATTTTACAAAGAATGCAGCAAATATGAATCAGATTTTACACTTATTATTATTGGCTCTTCTAAAAAAAGCTCATACATTTCCAAACCTATATACCCTCTCTGTTTAAAATGTTTGCTGAAAAGTCATATCATGGAAGTGAATCTTGCAATAATTTAATATGGTTATTAGAAGCTATTAGCGTACTCACTATAGAAATACATGAATAACATCCTCCGGGACAGAATAGTTCAGGTTCAATTGCTAACAGAATCAAAATATGTCTTGAATCGCTCCGAGCTGGTATTTAAACAATGCGATCTGAGTATTAAAAGGTATATGAGCAAAAAAAACTTGGAATTCATTGATCAAAACCAGGCCCCTGGCATGCCGTAAATACCTTACTGGCCAGATTTCTCACTGCCCGATCCCGCAGTTCATTCCTTTCAAAGAGGGTCAGTGGTTTTAGAGAGTTCAATCTATCCAAAACAACATGATAAATACCAAAGGACGATTTTTAGGAATGCTTTAAAGAATATCAGGAAAGAAATCTCGAATAAACATGTGTTTTGCGATGAAGCTGTCCTTTGAAGACAAGCAATTTCTCACATGGATTACTCTCAAGGCGACTAAATAATATTTTTAACATTTAAAACTGAAATATCCTACAAATATTTTCCTCGAATGTTTTGAACATATATATATAGTTTGTTTATGTGTTTATATATATATGGTTTGTTTATATATATAACATAACTAAAAAGAAAGTAGAAAGAAAGTAGTAAGGAATTTATATATCATATAAACAAAAAAAAAGTAGAACTATTTTTAGAATCCTGCGCCTCTGCTGCAAAGACTTAATTAATAATCAACTATTTGATTATATATATATGTGTGTGTATGTATGTATACGTGGTCCGCTGCTTGCTAGGTTTTCAAACTGACCCTCTTTCCAATATAGAAATATAAAAAAGACACAGATAGAGAAATATAAGATGAAATTTTAATTTTTTAAACCCTTTAAGGTTTTTTTTTTTTTTTTTTTTTTTTTTCCAGTTAAAAAGACTTCCTTTTTTACTACCCGCTAACACAACGCATGTTCTTTATCATTCAGACCAACAGTTAACCAATGGGAATTCCTCCCTGTCCCTGATGGGGAATTTCATAGTTTCAGGGAAAATGCGGTCAGGTTTTTATTTAGCTATTAAGTATTTAGTTTTAATTTATGATTATAAAAAACTACTTTTATTTAAATTTTGATATTTATCAACATTTTTCACTCTTTTTTTTAATTCAATTTAAAAATCAATTATCTAAATATAGACAATGCATGCATTTATTTTTCAAGCTTTGGAATGGAGAGGGGAATGATCTTCTATAAATGGTAAAAGGGATGCTCGGGGCAAAAATATTTGAGAACCCTGAATTTAGACCTTCCTAACACTTAATTGCTTGCATATATCTCAAAGGACTTACATGGAGAATATAGCTATATATCAAAGAAATTTAAAAATGAAATAATATCTAACTATGTGTAGTAGTATTCAAATTAAAACATGCTAATAACGAGGCAAAATAAAACTATACCATTTAGGGGGTTAGGGACTAGGAATTGTGCTGAGCAAACTAAAATTCATTCATCTTTGTTCTGACTTGCAAATGCAAAGATGTAATTTTTTTTAATTACTTAAGGTGTGCTTTTATGCTATTTTAATACTCTAAATGCTTTCTCTACATGTTAAATAAAGATATTGCCTATCGCCTGAATTTCATGGCTGGATTATTTCAGACGAAATAAAGAACTGCTAAGACCGAACTGAAAAGCAGTTATGATGATTCCATTTTAAAGACATTAGATTTCTAAAAGCAGGGAACATGATAAACTGCAATGTCTTCGCCGGGACTGGAGCTCTATAACTCTCGACTTTTAGCCGGATCTTTCCAGTTGCACCATGAAGGCAAGCGGAAAGAGCTAAGAATAACTTACACCGCCTTTTGTATATAGGTGTATTATGTAAGCTATGCAAATTAATTATCAAATAACAAAGAAAATTACAGTTAAAAATACGAACATTTTTAAATATAGTATATGTAATTACTGTTTAATAGTTAGTTATAATAACCATGTCAGAAATTGCTTGTCTCCTAGGGACAGCTCCACAAATAACTGCAACTGTTTAGATTCCAAATATCTGGAACGCGATATATGGACTTCAAATATTCAGAAATCCTATACCTGGATGACTCACGTTTTTCACTAGGCCATTTTAATTTTTCTGTTACGTTACTTATACATTTTAAAATTTGTCATAGATTTAAGTTATATTTAATGTATCACGATAAACACTTTTTAAAAAGTTGTTAAATTCATTCAGTTAAATGAGCGATACATAAATTAGTTTATAATTTTCGATTAATGTGTAACCTAAACATTTTAACAGAAGAATAATTACGCATCGTATATACACCTAAAGTTCTTTCTACATCGTGAATAATGGTTTAAACATAGCAAGTGTTCCATTTCTAAATATACACTAAACAAACGTTGTGACATTACAATAATTTCTTCTCCGATCAAGAAATTTCAGTCTTACAGTGTAGAGAATAATTACAGCTATTTAATATATATACTATCCTTTTGGAGATGTCGCGTTGTTCTTATTTTTTGAGAAAATGATACCTTTTTCTTCAAAGAAGTCAATTTTTTTTTGGTCAAATTCAATATTTTTTATTTAGTTAATATGCCATTAACAAAACAGTTTTCATTGCCTAATTTTGTTTTAAAAAATAATGTTTCTGTTTTATTGAAATAAAAATGTCTTTTAACTGAATTTTTATTAATACAAAATGCTATAAATGAGAAAAAAATTTCCTCATTTGCATTTTGAGAAATATTTGGTCTAAGGAAAACCAATATCTGATTGTTTTTACCATCCGGATAGAACAATGCTTGGATATTTATAATTTTATTGTACTAAAATCTTTGTATAATAGTCATGCAAATAATAATATTTTATGTTTAACATTAACAACATAAAAATAAAGGTGTTTTTGTTTCTGTAAAAACACTTGAAGGCCTCTGTTGATTTTCTAATAGACAAAAATTAATTCTGAAACATCATTTATCTACCTGGGAGATAATTCAACTCAGATACAAATAAATTCATAATAATTTAAAATATCCTATAAATACTTTTTCAAGTCATAAACTTTAATTTCAAACTCACGTTGCTATCTTATATTGAATAAATAAAATAATTATTTCAGAAAACACAGTTCTCCTGTTTTAAAATCAAATAAGCATTTTAAAATTAAAAAATTACACTACAAAAAATACAAATATAAATGACGGAAAAAATTATCGCCAAATATGAGATTCGGATCTAAATCAGGCTACCTACTAGCTCTGTGCTGGACCAACAATGACAGTTAACAAAAATGTTGACAAGTTTGACAAGGATTCCTTTTCAAGCATTTCTCCATTTCCCCCTTTGGGTTACACGTGTAGTAACATACAACGCCACGCTTCCTTGTCTCGATATACTCAAATATGACTCAATTCCCAATCACATCCGGATGCTTATGGAAATAAGCGAAGGGGTTTAATATTGCCCTTCAATTTGACATCGGCGTTAAACATCGGCAGACCACTGAACGTTTAACATCTCCTCTTCAAATCACTTTGGTAATTTTTTACATTAGTCAAGCATACCGAGTGTTTATTAAGTTACACCTGGATTTGATACAGAAATCTATAACATGGAGTCTTCTAAACGTATCTATATGTTCAAGGTAAGTTTGAGTGACATGGTATATAAATGTTTCCGATATAGTGTGATTAGATTTGAAAATATTGTATGGTGTAGTTATTTGTTTTATGCTTACTTTATTCCTTCTGGTTTCATTACTTGAGCTTCTGATAAAATGGATTAGTAATAGCATAACATTATGATTGGACTTCTTATAATTACTGAGTCTCGTTTACCACACTTTTGACGTTTCGACAGAAGTTTACTATTCAGTATGCATCATCAAGTACATATAAGGCGAATGGAAAATTATCTGACAATAAAACCAAATATTTATTTTAATTCTGATAAATCCTAAATATTTATTGGAATTTTTAATCTAATGTTTTAATTTTTGTGAAATAATATTTCGTATTTTATCATGAACTAGTTGTAGAACCCATTTATAAATACACAAAAACATGCTATTTTACATTTAGATGTCTCTCCTTAAGTAATCATGCGAAAACGTTTTTCAGCACCTTTTCTTCTCTCTCCGTATTGCAGATTGTTGAACTATGAAAGCAACTTAAAGTATAATTATATATCTAAGCATAAAGATGAAACACAAACACATGAATGTAATTCAAAATGAAATGCATCAGTGTACTTCAATTTATTCTGATAAATGGATTTAATTACGACATTAATTTTGTATTACTGCGATGAAATTAGGACTTTCAAGAAATAATGGTAATCGAAATTTTGTTCGGATTACTTCGATGTTAGATGGTGCGATGGTCTTCTTTTTCCCGATTACCACCACTCGAAAGAAACATTCAAACCTATAGATTTGTTATTCAGCCTACAAGCTCGATGTTAGGTGAGCCCATGATCTAGGAGACAAGATGACGAAAAATATACAGAATTTTATCTCAGGTCCACGATGGAATTGCTAACAATAAATCAGAAAATACAATACATTTGTCGTACATATCTTGATGCACCTTAACTGAAATAATGCTGTTGTCAGGTATCATAATCTTCATTTTATACTGTAAATAAAATAATTTTTTCTCGGGCGCATTCCATTGGCTTTCCCATCAATCATATGCAGGTAATAGTATTATTTATTAAGCTAATGATATCACGGTTTTGTAAATAAAAACTTTTATACGGTTCCCATAGATCTAGAAGTCTAATATATGAATACATTTTTTCCATGCCCCTTATTTACAAAATTCGCTGAAGTATAGTGTAATGAATTTCCTAACTTTTCATTTTCTGTATCGTGTCATCGAACATATATAAATTATCTTTCCTTCAGATTTAAGCAGGAACTACAAATAAAAATTGCTCATTTTGCTAGTTCCTACTTATCTTTATTGAACAAAAATATTCACTATTAATGTAGCAGACTTTATGAAACCATTAATTACAAATATCTCCATCAGTTTTGCATGTAAATGTATCCAAGGTTTTGCATTTTACTCAATAATGCATAATGACATTTTACTAACTGGGCATTTTTCTATACAAAGCGGTATAGCGTATACGGTGTATATAAAGTGGTATATTTGTATATGATTTTTATATAAAAAAGTAATATTTGTAAATATTTCAGCAATATTTATTTTATTGAAACTGTTTACATAAAATTCTGTGATAAATGTGTCTAGAAAATCTGAGTAACTGGAAGTGCAGTAAATTTATTTTCGTGCACGTTTTTCCATAAAATTCTGTAACTTATCTTGAAAGTATGAGTAACTGGAAGTTATATATATATATATATATTTACTTTCGGATACTGTTAATCGATTGTAGAAGTACAGCATGCTCACATATAATTATTTAAGAAATTCACTTTTATTAGAATAAAAAATTGTTTAATGTTTTCAAAATGTTACAGATTGAAATTTTTCCAAGTGGAAACGTAATCGCCAAAGATGTGGGTGATGAAAGTAATTCTAATTAATGGATTTTGAAATACAGTATATCAAAATTAAGAAAATTATCATTTTCTGACTGGCAGTTGCAATATATAATGAATATCTTCGCTCATAATGAATATCTTCGCTTAGAAATTTTATATATGAGTTTTAATATATTTCCTTCAATGAACAGCTTATCTGTTACTCAACCATATGAATAAAGATCAGAAAAGGGGGGATATCGTTGTGAGATGATGGTGGTGTATTTAATTATGGCAAAGCTCACTAGGGCTATCTGCCTAAGGGGAGGGATGCCTTTCGTGGAGGACTTTCTAGGGGAAACTGGCTCGTATACACGTTACACATGGGGAAAACCACGAAAACGCCCATGCAGCCAGCCCGTTCGCGGGATTCGAACCTCGGACCGAACTACCAGTGTTCAGCGTCTTTACCGCTCGGCCGCTGGTGGGCTCCGTTGTGAGATGAACGCTCGAGTTTTGCATAATATAAAAAATTAGGATATCAGTGCAAGATGCAATAATCTGAATGGTTACAATGGTGGTCTCAACAGGGATGTAAATCTAGTTCTCAGAGACGGTATGAAATTAATCTCTTTGAACTACTCTATCTGCTGAACATATCCTGTAGCCACATCTCAAAAAGGGAAATAAATAGCCGTTTTAAGCCTGATAATTTTTACTTCCTCGTAAGAACTAAAGGAAGTATTGTAATCATGAAAATTTTCGCGTATCATAGTTCAACGAAAATATGCATTTTGACCGCTATAGAATACAATTTTACGATGTTTTTGAGTGACATCTGTACATAAGGACAAAATAAAGGACTCTTTTTCCCAAAATGGATTGCAGAAAGCATTTAAAATGGATTCAGCAGAGATTTTTTCGCGACGTCTGTACGTACGTACGGACCTATGTATGTATACCCCATAACTCGAAAATAAAGAGCCTCAGAATGTTGAAATTTTGTATATAGGACTGTTATAACATGTAGTTATGCACCTCCCTTTTTGGCTGCAATCGGCCCCATCAAAAGCATATATATAAAATATACTCTTTTAAGATAATCCTACTGTAATTAAACTTAGGATATTATATAATCAATTAATCAATATTATTTAGTAAATAAATTATATATATATATATATATAATATATATATACATACATACACACACACACACACACACACATATATATATATATATATATACCCACTCAGCTACTCGACTTCGTGAGCTCAGTTTTTTTTTTTTTTTTTTTTTCTAATATGTTGATAAATTGTGCATTTTTTTTGCATTTTTTGCTTTAAAAACGTTTGAATTATGCGTACGGTTAAGGTTTTTATGCCTTTAGTTAATCTGCATGCAATATCTGTAGAATTATCAACAATTTAAAAGTTGTTTAGTGCGGCTAAGCCTATATTTTTTACCATAGCATCTATATTTGTTTACATTTGAAACTTAGCAGGACAGTGAATTAAGTCAGTTTCTGCTCCTTTCAGTGTCATTTTAGTTTCAGTGTCTTCTTCATTGCTTCAACTGTATTTGGCGTTTTATATTTTTCTACATTTTTAATAAACATATTTTGAGGTTTTATGTATTTTTGCCTTGTCGCGAAGTGAAAATTGAATTACTTGAATGAGAAATATCTCTAATGAAATTTGAGGAAATAAGTTTAAATGAAATGCAAGGAAAAATGCGTAAAATTTAACTTTCCGTACAAGAAAGTCAAAGTCATGTGGTGTACGCATTAGGTTTTTTATTTAATAAATAAAATACAGAAGATGGTGAAGAAGAAAATGCTGCTTCGTATTCTAAGGATTAGTCGTGCCACAACTGTCAGACTATTTATAGGAAAGCTAAGAATATGAATAGTTTATAAATGAAAATTTATGTGATGAAAAATTTCCATTTATAAACTTAAATAAAAATTTATGTTTATAAATGAAAAATTTTAATTTTATAAGTTTTACATCGTATCTTAGTGTTTCTAGTATATTTTTACTGATTTAGCTAAATTGCATTAATTTTTTTTTCTTATCCTTTAATTCAATTAATATTATCAAAATAAACGCGCACAAACGTCATTACATTTTCAGGACCAATTAAATATATCAAAAAATAATAAATATTTTTTAAAATACAGTTTATAATTATCTGTTTTGGACACCCTGTATATTTACAATGCAATAGAACTAAAGAGAGTTATCTAAGGCTTATATTAGATACATACATTTTAAGATCAGATTAAATTTGTTTTCTGCAAAGATTTGAGAAAAATTCTGATTTGCAAATTTTAAGGCATTTTGCAGATTATATAATCTGTCAACGATGTTTTTAAAATTTTTTCTTCTGTAAAAAATGCAGTTACTTATTTTGGATTGTCATTTTCGATAGTAGAAAATTCCGTTTTTTGTCTTTTTATCTGTAACTGCTAAAACGAAATTTTTATTCATGATTTGCGAAATCACTGACACCAAAGAGACTACTTTTCCTTTTCTTGCTAATCATTAACAAAATAGCCAAAAAAGTACTGTCAGAATTTTTATGATTATAACAAATATTGTTGCATTCAATCATGGAAAGTGAATATAAACTTTGGTTCTTGCTTTCATTTTTAAGTGATACTTTGAAGAACAAAAAAGATAAGAATTTGGTTTTTAGATATGGTAGCCTCAAATACTGCTGAGATAGAAAAATTTGAAAAGCCTTTTAACTGAAAAAATATTTTAAATTAATCTACTTCTGAAACAGTCCTGCATGGCTGTAATATCCTGAATGGCTTGTCAATGAAGGCTCAAAGAAAAGAAAAAAAAGTTGTGAAAATAATAGAAAATTTTTTTTCACTTCTAATAAATGAAATATCAATAGGAGCTAAATAATAATATCTTTCCTGACGCTTTTGTACAACGGTTAAAGTAATTAATATATTACATAATTTATTTCGACTGCGAATTTCAAATAAAAGTTTGAAGATGTTCTGCAAATGTTAACAACAACAGTTACAATTAACAGTAACAGTTACAATTAAAACTTTATTTCATATAACTTGTAAGATTCTCACTAGTGTATTTCTCAGTTACTGTAGAAAGTGACGAATCTTAAAAACTAGTTA